ATTAAACAATGAAATCGACAGATAAAGGTGGTTTGCACGGTTTACACAAATGAGGGCGGTTTTCATATGATCACTCATCTATATATATATATATATATATATATATATATATATATATATTTACATGAGACTTGAATATAATAATATGTATATTCATATTCATATTTATATTTTTCTCAATTTTTGTCTTTATTATTGATGTAATTATTAGCAAACATTAAATTAATTAGACTATTAATCTTCTTTAGTTATACTCAGCTTTCTTTATTTCTTATAATTAACGAATATATAAATAATCATTATATTTAGAAACTCACTTATATAAATGAAATTATGATTAATATGTATAAGTCTATTTACATAATAGTTGAATATAATAATAGTATATTTACTAAATGACCAAAAACACGAGTTTCAATCATTTTTTATTACAACATAATAAGAAAGACAAGATTAACCGATGTTGTTCAAACAAGCATAAGACAACTAAAAGGTATTACCGTAGCAATTGGGGTTATGGATTTTCAGTTTTATGGGGGGTAGTATGGGACCCATAGTCGGAGAGAAAATTATCCGTTTGATTGAATACGTGAAGTTGGGATCATAAAAGTTAGTTGAGAAATTGTGAAATTGGATTTTACCGACAGTGCAGCTCCCGTACTTTGCTAATGTATAACTCACAAACTGTAAGTCGTAATACGCTCGTATCTTGCAACCACTTTCATGAAGGGTCGAAAGTCAGTTATAACTCTAATTGGCTCGAAACAATGTGTTTTCGAGGTTGTTTACACTGTTTGGGATTAATTTGTTTTTTTGTAAAATTTGTATAAAATATATGGATAATCAAAATGAGGTGGGTAGATTCATATATCAAAGGTAATACTTATTCTTATGAATTTAATATATAAATGTGATCATCGATTCATTTAGCTAACTTCAATAATTTAAAAAAAATTATCGTCATCGCGCAACGCACGATGTCAAACACTAGTTTAAAGTAAATTATAATAAAAAAGAAATTACATAAAATTGTGAATTTTTAAATAGTTGATTTTGATATTAACATTGATATATTTTTTTTAAAATTTTTTATGATATCTTCAAATTTATATCTTATTCAGAAATAAAAATGATTATTGTTTTCTTAAAAACACATAAAATCGTATTATAACATCGATAGAGACAAATATTAAAATAGAACATTAAATATATATAAGTAAGTATTTTAGTAAAAAAAATAACTATTATTTAATCTTGATAATTAGTTCATGCTAATAATTTTTTTTTAAATTCATAAATAATAAAAATAATACTAAAAAACATTACATTTATTTATCTGAAGAATTAATCACGAACGATGAAAAAAATGTGACAAATTGTTGCAAAAAACATAAATATTATAAACATTAAGTTATAAATTTAAATTTGAGGTTTTCAGTTTGCAAATAGAAAAGAAAAGCATAAAACTATTAGCCAATGAAATGAAATTTTTACCTTCATAAGCTGCAACTATCTTCAACATCCATCATCACCTACACTTGAAACAATTTTCCGATCACTACAACGCCGGCAACAACCCCGTAGCGGCGGTGATTGGCGGAGCCAGGGCGGCAGCGGTGGTCGCATTGTCTGTCCAGTTCGTTTCACCCCAATGCCACAGCATACTCTCCCAGAAGCAAAATTCCTCGAAACAAGTCGTCAAACGTGAATCGTTGATCTTAATCTTCCAATGTCCATCGGAATAGTTCCCTTTCTCGGCTTCCCTTCGATCCCATTCCAATGCCGCCTTTTGCTTCGATCTTAACAAGCAATATTTATGCAGATTTTCTGGCATAGCATCGTGAACGGTCCACCACCTCGCGTGTGCCACGTCGCTCGCAAACTCCTGGATCTTAGCCACATTCCAGTTGCAGTCATAGTCCCGGAAACATAACCATGGCTTTAGCCCGAGATAGTGAAGTACATATAGAACCGGTGGGTCCGCTCCAAATAACCGTGTTTTCATCTCCTTTTTTTCTTCTTCGTCGCCTTCCCAAAAATGCTTCAAGAAATTCATGTGTTTTGGGATGCGATGCCACCACGTGAAGATCTCGTTCAAGTACCCTTGATCTCCGCCGTTATATGATTCGATTTCGTTGATGTGATCCATCAACAGTTTGAATGTACAATTCGATGGTTCGACGACCATCACACCGGAGTTGAAAAGGGTGGCATTGTTTCCGGTTGCGGTTATTTCCGGCATTTCGAAGAGGAAATCGATGTTTCGGAGAATGAGTAAATCAGCATCGATGAATATGATTTTGTCGTAATTGGTTAACTGCCAGAGACGGAACTTGCTATAGTTCCATTCATTGTAGGCATCTCGTTCGGCTTTCGGGTTTCGGATCCTTTCGATTGTATGGACTTTCCAGCCTGCCTCCTCGAGGCCGCCACGGTGGTAGTCACTTATTGTGCTATCCACAAGTATGACTAGGTCTCGTGTTGAGCCAGACATGCGAATGCTCTGGGCAACTGCAATTGCCCCACATACGTAAACATGAGCCGAGTGCAGAATTGTTGCATAAGCTTCTCGTTTTGGGTTCCCTGAGTACCGATAATCTGTTACAACAGCAAATCAGTTCATCTAACAACCGATCTTGAAGCTTAGATACAAATGAATACACTTCGCTAAAGGTTTAATTGAAGAAAGGATCATAGAGCTTTGTTTCAAAAACGAATTTAGTTTATAAACCAAACGAGCCCGGTAAATATCCATCCAGAGGTAGGGTCGGGGGGTGGGGATAGGATGTAAGCATACCTGACCTCTACTCTCGAAAGAGTACCGACTCGTGAGAAGTGTGTTAAATAAATAGAATTTCCCCAATGAAATAGAGGAAAGAGCCAATGGTTAGTTTATATGATTAAATTATATATTAAACAAGAAGATCGACTCCATCTTTCGAATAAACCAATAAACCAACAAACCCAGTATATCCCGCTCTCAAAAGCAGGGTGATGGGTGGGATGTATGCAGTTTTGACCTCTTACCCCCAAAGGGTAGAGTGTGCGAAAGTGTGAGTGAAAAGGAAAAGACAAGGACAAGAAGGATATACAAAACTATCACATAATAAGCAATAGAAAAAGAAAAAAAAACATGAAACCGGAAAAAGGCACAAAGAAAACATATACAAGGTAAAGAAAAAACATTCGCAAACCTCCATCCAAGGAAGGACTATGATACCATAATTGTATTTCAGTATTTCACAAAGACCGAGCCGTCCCTGAGGGAAGGAGTGACGGGCTCCCGCCCAGGGCTCAAAAAAATTAGGGGTCCAATTTTTTTATTATAGTAGTCTCGTATCTATAATAAACAAGAATAAGATTACTTCCTTCATGAGTTATTAACATTTCTCGTAGGGCAAATTGCATGAAAAAGTAACATACTTTAACTTGATTCCTATTTTGGGTAACGTGATTCCAAAACTTCGATTTTGATATCTAAGATGTAAGGTTTTAAACATTTAAGTATAATTCTGATGTGGCGAGTGATGTGGTATTCGGTTAATGCTTCAACAAATAATATTGAGTTGGATACCACATCACTCGCCACATCAGCATGGTAAACCAGTTAATGCTTCAATCAGTTACCCGGGTACTAAAATGGTTAAAACTGTACATGTTAGGTACTAAAATGGAAGTTTTGAAAGTACGTTGCCCAAAATAGGAATCAAGTTAAAGTACGTTATTTTTCATGTAATTTGCCCTTTCTTGTATTCAATTTTTTTAATAATAAAAACCATTTTATTGAATACTTTTCTATATATATATATATATATATATATATATATATATATATATCGAGGGCTGTTTTGCATACTCCCAGGGCCTATAAAATGTCAGGAGCATGCCGAAACATAGATGTGTAACCTTCTAATATTTTTGTCAATGAATAGTATCAAATATTTTTTACATGAATTCTAGAAAATATTATAGGCGTTTTACTACAATTTTAGGATTGATTATCAAACACGCACATTAATTGCAGAACTAAAAATACAGAGACACAATCCTTCATAGTTCAGCATTTAGCTTACATCCATGGACATTGTTATGATTCTCATTGTATCTTGTGAATTCTAAGTGAATATAAAGAAGGTTGGAATCATTTACAAGAGAAATTCAGAGAGGAAACAATACGACAGTGATACAGAGAGAATACAAGAGTTAACGAGGTTTTTCTTCAATCTTTGAAAAAGAAGAAAATGTGCTCGAAAGAAGCCCAAAATCCTGTGTCGAAAACTCGAAGACAGTCGCTTACGAGACTCGGGTCACGTGCCGGGTCGCAGGCGCGGCCTTACGAGTCCGGCACATATTGCTATGATTTCTTTATTTCATTACTTTGTTTCTTAATTAATTTAGGCTTATTATTTGTTTATTTTTAGTTACTAATTATTTGCTTCATAGTTAGAGTAGGATTAGTTTCTTTTTTATTATCATTTAAATACTTTCATAGTTGGTTTAGGATTAGGATTAGATTTGAATTTAATTTCATAGTTACCTTTATTTAGTCTAGCCTATAAATAGGATTTATTATTTTCATTAGTAATCCGATTATCTGTTACTAATAAAAGTTCCACTTTTGAGATCATTCTCTTGAGTTTCTTGAGTTTTACATTTGTAATTCTCAATTGTTAAAAGGGTTTAGATGCTTGTCGATCCTTCCGCACTTCCTGCTGCACCAGATAGGAAAATGGTCATCCAATTTTATCCACTTTTAGTCATCATTGTAATGGGAAAAAACAATACAGGGATTTTTAGTTCTTCCAAGGCATTCAGCGTGTATATCACCAAGAAATATCTTGATGAGAAAACTAGAGAGAACTCATATATTCATTGGTTCTATTGGATATTTTCCTGGTCCAACCTGATTCTTTCACCAAGTTTTTCAGAGGATTTGATAGTCATTTTGATGGGCAAGTTGCATCAAAATGCAACGTACTTTGATCTGATTCCTATTTTGTGTAACGTCCTTTAAGACCACCTTCATTTTGGTACCTCAAATGTGACATCTCAAACATTTAGGTACTTGGTTTACTTATGAGGATGCATGAAAATGCAACCTCATTTGGTCCGATTCCTATTATGTGCAATTTACCCTTGGAACTTTACTACCATAGACAATTACAAGCTTGTACTAGAAAAAAAACATGAGAATTAGGAAAGAAAGGTATGTATTAAGAGCTAACCTTTGGCCTTGAGAGGAACTGCAAGTTCACATGACCCAACTGGAAGCTGCACTTTCTCCCTCAGCATGTTGAGATTGGGTTCATATAGCCAAACATTATCACTACGTACAACAAGCTCTTTGCACGTAAAAAGATTTGGAATGGGGAAACAGTTGGTCACTAGAAGCACTCTCACTGGATGATACCCTTTAGATTTGGCAGCAAGTCTTGCAGCTGCGAGTTGCAAGTGCAAACGAGCCACATCTCTGGACCAGTCCCTTGTCCTTAAACATGGAAGCTTTACAGCTATTAGATCAATCCTTGGTGTCCGAGGAGCTTGAATATTGGGCAATGTAGGACATACAGGAACCTTAAATTCTTCTTCCTCATCAATCCACTCAGGATATAGATCTTCCCATGTTATGTTTTTTGCAACAAAATCAAGGTGGAGAGAAATATGCTCAGCACTTGGTATCATCTTCTTCCATTGGACGATTTCGCTCTCATTGAAGTTCAATAGGCCTACCCCCTTATACTCATTTGTGTCAGGAAGTTTCTTAATTACTCCGGAGATATGTTTCCAGTTAACTTTTAAACGGGATATATAACGTTCATCCTCTATTGGAGATTTCTCCTTTATCCATCTTTCTACCAAACTCGCCCTGTATGCACATTAAGCAACAATTGTAATTCTGAAGGGATTTTCAATTTAGAAAAGAAGTGTGAACAAGGACAGCATCAAGACTCAAGAAAAGTTTTGAGGGGGCCAACACTAGAGCTCGTAAAGAAAGGATAATCATCAATGCTCTGTTGCAAAACTATCAAATACTACAGATGGATCCAGTTTCAAAATTCAGAATGTTAAAGGGTTGAACAAATATATTCTAAAACTAGGCTCCCAGGACCCACCGCGTATGGATGTGAGCAGAGAGAGTATTAAATGATTGATGCTCATATGAAGAGCTATGAAAACTATAATAAAGCAATCAGAAATAATAATGCTGTGGGAGGAGTGACAAACCCAATTGCAAAATTCACAATTTGAAGGGATTACAACAAAATGGTGACAATAGGGTCTCAACCCCATCTTATGCAGAGGTAAGCAGATAGTAGTAATCGATGGATGCACATAGAAGGAAGAGTAGGAAATCTAACATACTGTGATCTTGAATGGGAAGGACGTTCTGTGTTATATACAGCTGGGGAGTGTAGGAGTGTAAAAAATGCTCCCAATATTATAATAACCAAAACCAGCTTTAAAGTAGGAAATTTGTAGCTTGCATTCCTGTCCTGGCTGGGACTAAGATGGGGCTTTTCACCATCTTTAAAGACTCTACTTCCAAAAGACCTTCTTTTGCTTGTATCTTCACTGAAAAAAAAAAGAAAACTTGTAACATATATCCGGTGGCATAAAAGAGCAAAACCCCATGCATCTGGTGGCATTAGAAGACAGGATTGGCAAAGTTTAATGTGAATAACAGTGAATGATGAGAAATGCTTTATGAAGAGAAAAATAAAGCAGCAAAATAAAATCAAAATAGAGCACCGCATTATTTGGATTAGACAATCTGCAAGGAGAAGACACATGCATATATGAAAACAAGTTGTACCTCTAACAAATGAAACACACAGCTTAATATGAGACCATGTGGAAATCCATATCATGAATTGAAAAATGAAATTATTGCGTTATTGGCTCTTAGGTTAGGAAATCCATATCATGAAGTCCATCTTAGGCTAGGAAATGTTTCCTATTCGTAATTATTATAATACCCCCGATTAAAGTGGGATAGAAACACTTACAAACTAAGGTAAGCCTAGCAATGTTATGCTTGAATTTCTTTTGGACATGGCATGAACTTCAGTTAGAATTAAAAGAAATCCTTGTACATACATAAATCGTTCTACGTAGAAGAAAAAAATCGTACATGATCCCTGTTGATGCCTACATAAAGATTCCAAAATGTTTATATATCATTTCTTTTATTATATAATACATAGAAATACTCAAGGTTTAGTTATTGATCTTCTTTACACATTTAACCTTCATGACTTTGATATGCATAATGTAGTGTACACTAGCTATGATAAAAAAAAGTTCAAGAGCCATGAAAACAAGAGTAATTTAATGACTTCACAAAATCACATGCCTATAGATGAATTTTTATGTTTTCAAATTTAAAGTCAGATCAACTATAGATCCAACATTAAGGGTTTAGGTAGCTTGGTGGAAGACTATAGATGTTGTTGTCAAGATGTCAATAGCTCAAGTTGGGTTCAAGGAGATAGTTAATTCTTTTTGTAGTTTATTTTTCAAGTGGCCTAAGATTGTAGGATCACTTATTAACTACCCAAGCAAAAAGTTGATGTTTGAGTCCCAACTAATACCATAACTAACTACTCATAACTTACATCCGAGAATAACACAAAATCAAAATTGAACTATGCCACATATATGAAAAAAAAAATGAACTCACAAAAACAATAGGATCTACTATCTACATGAGTGCCAACCATGTTAGGTTCATCCTGGATAACTAACTACTCATTGCGTCCATATAAGGCTATATGAACCACTAGTGTTTTATTGTTCCTTTCCATTAGGTATGAAGTTTGGAAGAGAGAACAAAATCTGTACTCCAATTACTTTTGTATGTATAGACATCATTTATATCTCTTTTGAACTATTTTCTGAATTTGTCTAAAACTCAATGAACTATCAGCAAGTCGATAAGCCAAATTACCCATTAGAAACTCAAATGCTTTTCATTTTAAGTTTTTCAATTATGTGTACAATCTGAAAAACAAGTTTTTTTAACCTAAATACTCAAAAAAAATGGATAGAAAGGTGCTCACATAAGATTTTCTAAATGGCAAAAGAGTATATGACACATTTTCTGATGGAGTACACATAATTTCATAACTTGGATAACAAATGCAAAGATTTATCACTTGTACTTCAAAACGTAAAACTGATATACCAAATTTCATCACCAACTTCTTTTTTGTGTACTTGTTAAATGGTCAATGTGAATATCAAACTTTAGATCTGAAGTGCACATCAACTCTGACGTTGGGACAATAATCCATCAAAAATTCAAAGTGTATTTTTAATCATACATTTTGTAAGAGATGGCCAAAATTGATCTTACATGCTGATAGCTAAGGGAAAGTGGGAAGCACACAAGAGAATAAATACAGACCTGCACACATCTCCAAACTAAATCTTTAAGTAACTTAACTCGGTTTATCTTTAACTTTTTTGAAACTCAAATTGCCAAATCCCCAACTGTCAAAATTTATATCATCATCTTGGAGTAGCTTAGATAAGATAATAATCCTTTGATCCTGACAGCATCAGTGTTTCGTCTTAAAATTGATAAGATAAAGTTACATTTTGCAACTAAAACTGGGTGGACTTTAGATATAGAAAGAGACCACAGAATCTAACTGAAAAAGGTTAAAAAACCCAATTCCATTTTGATCCAAATGAAATAAGGTTCACAAAATCAACTTGCAGCAACCTTTCTCCAAACTAAGACCATTTTGTTAAATCTAAACAAATAAAACTGCAAAGAAACAAATAACTCTTTTAACAAACATATTCACAAACACCTAGTCTGCACATATTTCCAACCCATTTTATAATTAAAAGAGTGGAAGAGATCTACGTGGTTACGGAGAGACGGTGTCTAGGCTCAATTGGAGTAGGCGACGCACCAACGGGTCCTCTCATACTTCTCGAATCAGTTTCAGCAGGGCTGCAGCTATGATCTGCGAAAATGAAAGATGAAAATAAAAGAACATGTAACTATTAATCACCAAGTATAACTATATGACATAAAATCTTGATTTATGAATAGGGATCTTGAATAAGAGAGAAAAGTACAGCAACATTGAGTCTCTGGTATGGTACGGTGAGGAAAACTCCATTAATGTCGTCTGCTTCACCATTGAGAGTCTTATTACAGTAGGTCAAACTTCGTCGTGGCGCAGTCAAAATGAAACTTAAATTTATACAAATTACTCTAATCTATTGACATATTACAATAGTGACCCTTAAACTTTGAATTTCTCTAGTTAGGTCCGGTTCTAAGATTTTTGATGTCCTGTGCGAAAATAATAAAAAATGTCCCTAAGCCTATTTTTTTTAAGTCAGTAAAACAACGAAACCCTGAATACATAATCTAGAATGATAAAAAGGATAAATCATGGATTAAGATTGTGTTTCCTTTTTTTCCAGTTTTCCCTATTCCAAATAGAGATTAGCAAAATAGAAATTTTATTTCCATATATGAGACTTAAAAGACAGGAAAACTATTAGTTTTTAACTAAAATAGTAAATTACCTCCAAATTACTGTCATATTAAGCAAAAAGTAAAACTTAAAAGTTACAGGTCTAACGACTAAAGACTAAGGGTCTATCTGTTAGCAGCTTAATAAGCTTAATGGAACTTATTCGATCAACTATGCATGATTGTTTCATAGTGGCTAAATGATATATAAAGTGACTTATCTAGTAAGCTTATAGGGGGAGCTTTATATAGAAAGTCAAGTTTTTTTTTTCAAACATGACATTTTCAATAAAAAAAACGCTCCTTACATCTGCGAAAAAACTCTCTTAAACAAAAACTTTTCCAACTTATACAAACAGATTAATTCATACAGACAACTTTTATCCATATAGAACTTAATAAAAGATCAATCAAACGGCCCCTAAATCTAATGCGGTAACACTAAACCTCAAAGTAAACAAAAGTCAAAAGAACAATAATAAATTGTAAAATCATAATCTATGTTATTGTGCATTGTAAAGAACAAGTGCTCAATAATTAAGACAATATCACAATATGTTGTTAATGTTGTGCAGTATGCTCCAGCTATATTGATACAGTGATGTGTTCATGTGCATTGAATATTTCAATTATCAGATATTTCAATATGCAAGAGAATGACTCATTATCAAAATGATAAAAGCTCCTTAGTTTAGCATAGTAGGTCAGCAACCCACACGACCACATGACCCAACTTTATAATAATCAGTTAGAAAATTAGATTTTTTTTTGCATAAAGATTTAAAGATTCATAAATCATGATATGACTCACACAGCAACTCGGTAAGTTTAATCAACAGTAGAAATCAGTCATTCGAGATTTCCATCTTTGATTTCTTGAATCTAATTTCATGATCGTTAATCAGCTGGAAAGAGAACTTCATGCCTTGAAAATCAAAATAGTCGAACTTTGAAGAACAATAGAAATTCGATTGAGTTGTTGGAATGATGGCGTTAACCAGTTTACGATTTGCATTCAGTATTCATCACTACTAGGCCTGTTTTTATAGTTAAAGTTCAGTTTTCCAATTCCCAAATTGTTAAACCAAAAACTAGTAATAGACAACTACTTGATGCCCCTTTAGACATTGATGTCCTGTGCGGTCGCACAGGCTACATGTGGCCAGGGCCGCCCCTGCATTTGAGATGTGTTTGCTACATTGTGTGTGTGTGTTAAACATAAAGTCATGATTTGTATAAGCTTTACGTTTATTAGTTAAGATGCATCTCAAGAGGTGTTTGGTTCATAGAATGGAATTTGATGGAATTGGAATCCATCAAAGGAATTTGACTTTGAAGGAATTGGAATGAAATTTGATGGAATTTGACCATGCGTTTGGTTGGTAGGAATTGAAATGAAATATCTCAATAGAATTGGAATAATCATCTTTGTATGGACTATCCCATCCATCGCTCTGTCCACACCCTACCAGCCACCATGTCACTGATATCGTCATCACAACTATCACCCGCCCTGCCCCCACCACTTCTGCCCTACCGTGCTCCATAGGTGGGGATTGTTGCGGGTAGGCAGGGGTGGGGCGAGGTAGTGGGGGTGAAGCCAGAGTGGAGCAATAGGTGGCGTGTGTGATAGTTGTGATGACTACAGTAGTAGGACGGTGGTTAGTGATGGGTTAGAGTAGGGTAAGGTAGGGTGGGGGCAAGGCAGAACGGTGGGGTGGGTAGGGGTAGGTGGTGGGGTGGTAGCTGTGATGATGCTAGTGGTGGGATAGTAGTCGGGTGGCTGGGGCCAGGGAGTGGGTGGGTATGACGACAATAATAGTGGCATAGTGTTTAGTGGTGGGTTGGGTTAGGGTGGGGTGCGGGTGAATGGCGGTTATGAAGGCGACAATAGTAGTGTGGGGGTGAAGGGTTAGGTTAAGGGCCACATGGACGGGGATGTGGGGATCAGTGACAGCTGTGACGATGATAGTGGTGGATGATGGTCAGGGTGATTGGGAGTGGGTGGGTATGATGACGACAACATTGACATAGTGGCTAGTGGTGGTTAGGGTAGGGTGCGATATGGTGAGTGGCAGTTGTGACGACGACAATAATATTGTGGTGGTGGGGGTTAGGTTAGGGGTGTGACAGTAACGTTAGTAGCATAGTCGTAGTAGGGATGTGTATTGAGTGACCGGAGGGTGGGTGGGTGTGATGACAACAGTAGTGGCATAGTGGTTAAGGTGGGGTAGGGTGGGTGGCAGCGACATCAGTGGTGGGGGTTAAGGGTGGGGCATCATGAACAATAGTAGCATGATCGTGGTGGATGGTGATGGAATTCAATCCCTTCCATTATGCCAAGGAATGATGAATTCATTAACTTGTGGAATCCAATAGAATATGAAGGATTCCATCCATTTCAAGAAATGAACCAAACAAAGGAATTGGAATTTGGTCAAAGGAATTTGTCATTCCAATTCCATCAAATTCTGCGAACCAAACGGCCCCTCAGTTATTTGACTAGGAGGAAGATGTAACAATGGGAAGAGAATGTTCAAATTAATGAAAAGTGTGAAAGGACATATTGTTTGTGATAATTAAAAGCTTAATGAACGTTTTTACGATGTGAATTTATTGAGATTCATGAATAAAAAGCTTATTAGTACTAATATTTCAAGAAAGTCAATATGTTTATTTATTTTGAAAGAAGGGTGTTCATTTTTTATTTTTTTTTATTAACCTGAATATCCAACCCGCTATGCGAGCCGACTAATTTCAGAGCGACCACCTGCTTTGCAGATAGCCCGGAGTCATCGCATTTGAACCTCCGTGGCTATAAGGGGATTTTTATTCCTCCTTGGATTTGAATCCGTGACCTCCTGGTACTTTTGACCTTTGGAGCTAAGCTCAAACCAATCAGACACCACCTCCTTGGGTGTTCGTTTTTTTTGTATTACTAGTTGTGGCTTTGATTTGAGGTGTTACAAATTGATGTCATATCATGGTTTAAGATATTTAGGTGTCAATGACTCTAATTAAACTTAAACCAAAATGTGTGGAAGTGAATCATCTAATGGCGATGATAAATGATATCAATTATAAATCACAAAAACACTATGAATGTTACCTTCACAACATTTTGTTGTGAAGTTTTAAGTGTAAGAAACTTATCTCACGTGTTTTAGGAAAACAGTCTTGTCTCACATGATCCCAAGTCTCTCTCTCTCTCTCTCTATATATATATATATATATATATATATATATATATATATATATAAAAGAGAAACCAAGGATTATGATTTGACAACAGTATGTTGAAATATTCTCAAATACTGAAATGTGGTTGATTTTAGGGTATCTCACATTGAACAAAAAAAAGAGCAAAATGTTGGAAGTTTGTGTGGTGTATATATTAAAGGGTTTGAGATGTTTGAAAGTTAACAAAGTTGGTTGACTAAATATGCTATACTTGCCTTCAAGTTTTGGATTAAAGTGAATCAATATATCAATATCAATCATTAATCAATTAAATATATCAATCAATCAAACGATATATATTCACAGAGAAACAAGGATTATGATTTGATAACATGAGGTCTGAGTATTCTCAAATATTGAAATGTGGTTGAGTTTCACCATCCCACATTAGTAATAAGATGCAAGATTTAAAGTAGAGAGTGAGTATGTGAAATGAGGGATGAGTGCTTTGTGTCAACTCATGAAGTTGGCTTAATTTAGCCACCCTACTTTCTACAATGAATGCATGTGCGCACGCGCGCACGCACACGCACACACACACATACACACACACACACACACATATATATATATATATATATATGATCAAATATAAACCGTTCCCTTTTGTGCAATTCTTACAAACCAATCTCATTCATCTATTTTCATGATCAAAGACCATTGTTAAAATGAGTTATTTTAGTAAAGTAAAAAAATAAAACTATTATTATTTTATCCAAGAAAGGGCAAAACTGAAAAAAGTTTTAAAAGTTTCAACTCATGGAAATATAATTTTCTCGTATTCGATCCCCTTTCCTCGTAGAAATCATAATAGTTCCATCTTATTTTTTTTGAAAACTGAACAACATGATTTCATTAGTCAAATTGGTTTCATGGTTCTTAATCAAAATGAAATTTGATTTATTAATATAAATAAATATGGTTAAGTCAATTGAACATTTTTTGAAAACTGAATAACATGATTTCGTATTATTTTACAAAGATAATAATCAATTTTCTATTAGAACTCAATAATTATTCTAATTATAATTTAGATTTTTTTATCTATCTATACTATATTATAAAGCATTTGATAAAAACTCTTAAAAATCACTTTTTAGGCTTAAAGTACTGTTTATCAATGCATATTACTTAAAACTCAAAATTGCAAGTAGATTGTGTGTAAGTACAACTTATTAAAACTTCATATATGAATTCGTGTAAGTACAACTTATTAAAGTTTTATGTTTGAATTCGTGTAACTAACTGCAGATAAATATGGTCAAATACAAGATAAACGTTTCATTTTAAATATAAAAAATCTAAAATATAACTAGGATAATCATTGAGTTCTAACAAATTACTTAAAAATTTATTAAATAAAAAATAAATTACTTTGTTAATAAATCTAAATTAAACTAGTTGTGTACCCGCG